TACACGCTAGTGACCTAGCAAATGCTCCATGTTTCACCGGCATGCACAAGGAGGCACCGGTCCCAAAAGTTAACTACCACTGGAAATTGACACCAAACCCTGAGATTGCTAAGCTATTAGCCACAACAGTGGATAGAGTGACGCCCGCACAAAATTTGGAGGTCAACCACGCGAACGACCTAAGCTGCTCTCTCCGGTCGTTCCCAGACAATAACTTGGAGTTTGAAAATTCATGGCTTCAGTGTAGTAAAGATAGGCTAACGGAGTACGTTTATTGAGATAGGCACCACTCTATGGTATCTGTGCTACTTAATGAGCAACAAAAACATTTTATCGTGAAACAAAGGTGAAGTACTAAAGTTTGAGACTAATTTACATTTTTAATGAATCCGACCTGGCTTTATTGAAAAAGAAAAAATAAGGAAAATAAACATTTTTAAGGTAACAAGAGCTCATTAGAGATATAGGGGACACAATCTGTGATAAGCCCGAAATACAGACCACGTGGTAAACACTAAAGTTGGAAATGGATCCTTTTAGGAAAAATCTCTTAAAGCTCTGCATGTTCTGCAGGCTCTGAAAGTTGCAACAATAGAAATAGCTCATGAGACAATTGTAATTGGACATGGAAAATATAACAAAGTTAAAATTACAGGCCTTTTGTGTGTGTTATATGTTTGTGTGTGTTATATGTTTGTGTATGTTATATGTTTGTGCGTCATGTCAAATACACTACGTTGACCTTAACAAACTGGACCAATATACTAACGTGGGGTGTTGTGAGTGTGTTGTGGAGTGAACGAGGAGTGCTGAACGGAATCATGGAATAACAAATGTTTCTGTAATGTTTTAATGTGATCATGGAATAATTATTTTTTGTCAACAGCATACGGTGTAAGTACTAGAGATTCAAAGATAACAAGCTTTATTGAACAGGTGTAAAAGTGAGAGTACTCTGGGATGAGTACTCTGAGAAAAGTACTCTGCGGAAAGTACTCTGAGATGAATACCTTGCTGAAGGTACTGGGAGTCCCCCCCTCTGCTGTTTGTCCTGACAGTGATTCGGTCCAACCGCAGTGAGCGGTCATTGGGCGGAGGACAACTTTGGTTTGTAAACTCACATTTAGGGGAGTATAAAATTAGAAACATACATTTTGTTAAGTCTGTATTTGGCTGATGTCACACACCGTCTGTCAATGCAGTTATGTTTTACCCCATTGGAAAAAGATTGACAAGCGAAAGTGGGCATTTTTTGTGTTTTTTGTGTTCTAATATTTCTTTTTCAGATGAGAGATAAACTACCCCTGCTTCAGGGATGACAGTAGTATGGATCATGAGGAAATGAGCCTCCACTTTGGCACCAAAGCCCACAATATGAATTGAGGACGATCCGGGAGAAAAGCAACTGGAGATGAACGGAACAGCAAATCTACACACACACACTAGGTCTCCCTGACCCAACGGCCATTCACTCAGACTGTGGATGAGCGGTGTGGGTGCATGGTGTCGGTACTTTTGCAGTCTCACTGAGGGCCACTGAGACCCACTGCTTACTTCTCAGCAAAACTCGATCCCGTGGCAGCAGGGTTGCCTCGCTGCCTGCGGGCTGTGGCTGCCGCTGAGAAAGCGGCCCTAGCATCACGTGACCTTGTGGGATACACTGAACTAACTTTGCTTGTGCCCCATGCTGTTTCCCTGATCCTGCTAGAGCAGAAAACCTCTCACCTTTCTGCGGCTCATTGGCTGAAATACAACACGGTGCTCTTTGAACTACGGTGAAAAGATGCACACAGCTGAACCCCTCCTCACTGCTGCCCACGCCAGAGGAAGGGGAGGCACACTGCTGTATCGCCACAATAGAACAGATATGCACTCCCAGGCCAGACCTGAAAGAGGTGCCTCTGACTAATCCTGACTTGATTTTTTTTATACAGACGGAGCCGCGTCACGTGACAACACTGGGAAGAACCGAGTCGGCTATGCTGTGTGTTCTGATTTTGATACTATAGACTCTGGTAGTTTGCCCCACTACCATTCAGCACAAACCGCTGAACTGGTCACGCGCACCAGGGCTTGTGTGCTGGCAGCGGACAAAACTGTTAACATATTCTGTGATACGCGCTATGGTTTCTCTGTGGTGCACGACTGGGGGGCACTGTGGAAACACCGCAATTTCATGAAATCTGATGGTAAACCAATTCTTAATTCCACACAGGTTGATCATCTGCTGAAAGCTGTAATGTTGCCCTTAGAGATCGCTGTATGCAAATGCCAGGCCCACACTAATGCCACTGATCCCATCTCTGCAGGGAATCGGCGCGCGGACAAGGCAGCGGCATACGCACCTCTACACACACACACACACTACCTCACTCAAGACGTTGATATTTTCTCCTCCCTGTCAGCGATGCAGGCACTGGCTACTCCAGCAGAGACGCTGCTGTGGGAGGGGAATGGGGCTCAACGACGGCATGGTGTGTGTGGCTGGGACCAGACCTAAAACCGTGCTTACCACGGCATTTCTTCAGACAGTTTGCAATTTTAGCACATGGCCGAGACCATGCCTCAAAAGGAGGGATGTGTGATTTAATCACACAAAATTGGTATACAAAGGGGTTTACGGCATTTGCACAGAGATTCTGCCAAACATGCGCTATATGCCTCGCGCACAACCCAGGTAAGTCCCAAAAGTATCCAACAGGCTGCTCATCCTCCGCCCCTGCGCCCATTTCAACATGTCCAAATGGACTTTGTTGAACTCACACCATGCCAAGGTAAGTAATACTGTCTGGTTCTGGCGGATCTCTGGTCCAAATGGACTGAATATTTGCATGCAAACACGCCACGAGCAACGCGGTGGTGAAAGCTCTGCTCACAGAAATTGTGCCACGATGGGGTGTCCCGAGGGAAAATCTCTAGTGACAATGGCAGTCACTTTGTAGCAAAAGTCATTGAGGAAGTGGGTGAATTTCTGGGCATTGATATACGTAAACACTGCAGTTACGCCCCCTGGTCCGGAGGCGCGTGCGAGCGAGAGAATGGCACTCAAAGCTCTGCCGCTAGCCCTCATGTACATGCGCATGAGAGTCCCATTCGAAATCCTCTGTGCCAGACCACCCAACTTGGGCGCGGGACCCCCGAACAGAGATCTGCCAAGCACCTCTTTGTGTGATGACGACATGCTGTCCTATTGTAAGGAAATTAATGCACTTTTGTCCTCTATTTCTGCCCAGGTCAGGAGCGCCCTGCCACAGGCTGCGCAGGCGGCTCTGCACAGGATCAAGCCAGGCGACTGGGTCCTGGTGAAGGAAACGAGACGAAAGCATTGGCGGTCCAAGCGCTGGCTCGGCCCATTCCTCGTCCTCCTGGTGACGGACACTGCCGTTAAGGTCGCGGAGAGGACAACTTGGATCCACGCCAACCACTGTCGTGCGGTGCTGCCACTGAGGGCCATAGACGAGGACACCGAGGGCGCGGACGGACCAGGCCCATCCGCGGCTCCCTACGCTGAAGAGGTCGGCCGGCGTGCGACCACCATCGGTGAAGCAGGCCAACAACAACACCCAGAGATTCCCAGCGTTCCCGAGGCGACCCCCCTTTGCCCAACTCCCCAGCCCCCGGACCCCAAGGCCTGGGAGCCATGAAGGCCCTGAGCGCTCTGCTCAGCTGCAGCAAGTATGCAGAGCTGCTGCCCATTCCAAAGATTTCTCCAGAGCTTGCTCCCTCTGGCCATAATGCAGATTTGAGCTCTGCTGGAGTGCCCCCTGGTGTCTCGTCTCCCGTGTGTCCGGAGGAGGTGGAGATGAGGGCTGCTCTACAGTTCCTGATGAGGCACATGGTGAAGCGTGCTGTCATGAGGTCTCCCATCAAACGAGCTTTGGGCCTGGCCGATCTGGAGCGTGCTCAAGCCATGGTCTCCACACCCCAAACCCCGAGCACTCTGCCCAACCGAGTGCTGAGGCCAAGGCTTCAACGCAATTAGAGTCTTGCCGCTCCAAGACCAAACATCGCCATGACCACTAACGCTCCACACACGCTCATAGCTAGGGCGAGCTTTGGGTAATGACCGAAAGAACGAGATCGTGGATACAAGCGTCAAAATGAGCTTCCTCCGCAGAGTGGCTGCTCCCTTAGAGATAGAGGAGCTCAGTCACATTGGGGGAGCTCAGAGTAGAGCTGCTGCTCCCTTAGAGATAGAAGAGCTCAGTCACATGGGGGGAGCTCGGAGTAGAGCTGCTGCTCCCTTAGAGATAGAGGAGCTCAGTCACACGGGAGGAGTTTGGAGTAGAGCCGCTGCTTCCTTAGAGATAGAGGAGCTCAGTCACATGGGGGGAGCTCAGAGTAGAGCTGCTGTTCCTCCACGTCGAGACGAACCAGTTGAGGTGGCTCGGGCATCTGTTCAGGATGCCTCCTGGACGCCTCCCTGGGGAGGTGTTCCGGGCACGTCCCACCGGGAGGAGGCCCCGGGGAAGACCCAGGACCCAGAGGGACTATGTCTCTCAGCTGGCCTGGGAACGCCTTGGGGCCCGCAGGAGCTGGAGGAAGTGTGTGAGAGGGAAGACTGCTGTCCCCGCGACATGGCAACGGATGAAGCGGAAGAAAAAGGATGGGTATTATTCATGTAAAAACATCAGTGACCGACACTGTTTCTCGATCCCAGAGCAGTCACTCTCTCACCCTGTTAGTGTTACACACACTTTAGGATAATATAATGTAAATAATGAGTTATATATAAGTCTTATATAGATCAATATAAATGTGTTGGAAATATGATGCTATACGTCTGACGCTAAACCACATTTCACTGCATCGTTATGACTGTAATAAATACTGATTTTTGACATTAAAGTAGACTCTAATGTCATTTCATCTGAGTCTCAAAGGATCCTGTAGCGGCCTTTCACCTGCGCATGAAAGGTTGTCCCTGAAGGTGTAGAATATTGTCATTTTCTATTTCATCCTGACGTCCGTGACTTGAATGAATCCAAACAAAAGAACAGATGAATCCCAGAGCGACTCCAGAGCAACTCCAGAGCGACTCCAGAGCAACTCCAGAGCGACTCCAGAGCGACTCCAGAGCGACTCCAGAGCAACTCCAGAGCGACTCCAGAGCGACTCCAGAGCGACTCCAGAGCGACTCCAGAGCAACTCCAGAGCGACTCCAGAGCAACTCCAGAGCGACTCCAGAGCGACTCCAGAGCGACTCCAGAGCGACTCCAGAGCGACCCCAGAGCGACTCCAGAGCAACTCCAGAGCAACTCCAGAGCGACTCCAGAGCGACCCCAGAGCGACTCCAGAGCGACCCCAGAGCGACTCCAGAGCGACTCCAGAGCGACTCCAGAGCGACTCCAGAGCGACTCCAGAGCGACTCCAGAGCGACCCCAGAGCGACTCCAGAGCGACTCCAGAGCAACTCCAGAGCAACTCCAGAGCGACTCCAGAGCGACTCCAGAGCGACTCCAGAGCAGAGCGACTCCAGAGCGACTCCAGAGCAGAGCGACTCCAGAGCGACTCCAGAGCGACTCCAGAGCGACTCCAGAGCAACTCCAGGCGCCGGGTCCAGGATAAAGGACACATGCAGCAGATTCAGATCCTGCAGATTCAAAGAACTCATTTCTTTTGAACAATTCCACTGCTCAAAACCCTGTGTCACAGACACTCTCCTCTCCACAGACATTACCCATAATCCTGTGTTTCAGACTCTCCACAGACATTACCCATAATCCTGTGTTTCAGACTCTCCACAGACATTACCCATAATCCTGTGTTTCAGACTCTCCACAGACATTACCCATAATCCTGTGTTTCAGACTCTCACAGACATTACCCATAATCCTGTGTTTCAGACTCTCACAGACATTACCCATAATCCTGTGTTTCAGACTCTCACAGACATTACCCATAATCCTGTGTTTCAGACTCTCCACAGACATTACCCATAATCCTGTGTTTCAGACTCTCCACAGACATTACCCATAATCCTGTGTTTCAGACTCTCCACAGACATTACCCATAATCCTGTGTTTCAGACTCTCCACAGACATTACCCATAATCCTGTGTTTCTGACTCTCACAGACATTACCCATAATCCTGTGTTTCAGACTCTCACAGACATTACCCATAATCCTGTGTTTCAGACTCTCCACAGACATTACCCATAATCCTGTGTTTCTGACTCTCCACAGACATTACCCATAATCCTGTGTTTCAGACTCTCCACAGACATTACCCATAATCCTGTGTTTCTGACTCTCCACAGACATTACCCATAATCCTGTGTTTCAGACTCTCACAGACATTACCCATAATCCTGTGTTTCTGACTCTCACAGACATTACCCATAATCCTGTGTTTCAGACTCTCACAGACATTACCCATAATCCTGTGTTTCAGACTCTCACAGACATTACCCATAAACCTCTAAACTACTTCTGAGCCCGTTCTAACTTTCTGCCACATTTTAACGCAAACACTTTTGATGAATTTATATTTAAACAATTGTTTAACATTTATCAAAATAAAAAGGAGGAAAATATGAATGAAAACAATTCTTTATAAAGAATAAAGTGTTCGTCTTTATCAACGCATGATCATTCTTTTACAGTAGCCACAGCTGCCCTGGGGCACACTGACAGAAGCGAGGCAACCAGTCTGTGCCATCAGCCCCACCCACCACCAACAACCATTCACACACACACCAGACTCATTCTAATGTGGGGGAAGTGTCTTGCCTAAGGACACAACCACAGTTTGGCACTTTACAACCGCAGCCGCCCCACTGTGGCACCTGCTGTTCCCAGCGTCATAGATCAGCGACGACGTCATAGATCAGCGATGACATCATAGATCAGCGATGACGTCATAGATCAGCGATGACGTCATAGATCAGCGATGACGTCATAGATCAGCGACGACGTCATAGATCAGCGACGACGTCATAGATCAACGATGACGTCATAGATCAGCGATGACGTCATAGATCAGCGATAACGTCATAGATCAGCAATGATGTCACAGATCAGCGATGATGTCATAGATCAGCGATGATGTCATAGATCAGCGATGGCGTCTTGACTTTGCTTCAGGGACAAAAGGTTCTGGATTCTGGCGAAGGTGAGAGCGGTCGGAAGCAGCTGAATCCAGGCTGAAGTAATGGGGCCAGTCTGATGAATGAGTCCTGGGAAGCAGCCGGAGAGAGAGGAACCAACCAGAGGCTTTGTTTATGGAGCTGGTCCGCAAAAACTTTCAAAATGGCACAAAAAAAAGGTTAAAAATAGGCAAACTATATACAATGTGCAGAATGGTCCACAGGGGGTCTTTATGCGGAACCAGGCACAGCATCGGCCTTAAAGCAACCTCCGATGGCCTGGATGGAAGTGCACAGTCACAGCCCGGTCCCATTAAATGGCCTACATTAAAGAGTACCAGGTCCAGAGCACAGGGACAGTTTAGTGCAGCTCAGGGGCTTTGAGGAAAGAGGACGTTTGAAAGAGCAGATAACAACTTTATCCAGCATCGGGAAGGAACGAGCACAACATCAGAAATCATGTTATTTTCCATGTTACTGTAAGAAAGAGCCCAGGGAGTCACTATTTGAGGCTTTGAGCAGGGAATGGATCGGCTGAATGGGAGTAGTGCTGTTTTCCCCTTTCTGGTTTTGAAAAGGTTGATGTAAATCTGGAAAATGTGTTTTGAGGACAACCATATTTTTGACATTTCTTTACTCAGAAGTAACACCGCTGGACTGAGCTTTAGCAACACACAGTTCTCCACCTGCTCACCAGGGGGCGCTGCAGCCTCTCTTCCAAAATGCCACCAACATTGATTTTCTAGGCATCCATCAAGTCAGTCTCACTGCAAACCTCTATTAAATTGAATCCAAAACTGCATGAATGAAAGATGAATAAACAGTCCCATTAGTAGATTAAATCTTCTCTGGTTTTTCCTTCTATTGACCACAGCGGCCAATGTTACAAATCCCAGGATGCATTGCCTGTGAAGGGCTGTGTAAAGTCAGGATTATATAATACTACGATGATCATTTTCTGTGTTTCAAATGTAATTGGGCCTGAGAGGGTTAAAGACAGCTGTGTTTAGCGGCAAACAACTGAAGGACTGAGATTTTATAACACTTTGAAGCAACTATTGTTAAAGTTCAAACTCATCCTTCCATTTGCAGGAGCCAGGACTTTTCCCTTGTTTTGACTCTGAAGGCCAAGCTACAGGACACCGTGGAAGCTGCTGATTGGAGGACTGCATTCTGTCGTGTTTGTGTTCGTGCTGTCTCTACCCTTGACAATAAAACATGTCTTCTGTCTGAATTAAAGACACGATCCCAGACTTTGTCATCTTCTTCAGACTGTATTTTATTCTTTTTACTGCACCGTCGTTATTTATTATTCTGATCAGGCTTGGACTGGGACCAAAAAACAATACGGCCAACGCTTTTTTTCCATGTGTTTTTTGCAGTTATTCATAGTGTATGCTGAAGCACATACTGTAGAGGATGTCCGCAGTTTCAACAAATAACACAAAGGGCAATAGTCTCCGTTACAAGAGAGTAATAAACATGTCACAGACTGATGCAGAGGGACACGGACTAAAACTGTCAATGTCAATACATCTGTTTGATTCACAACATTTTACTTTTGGACACAACCAACAGGAGCTGTTAATCCAAGAGAAAATGTAGGTAACCCAGCTTTACTTAGCAAGTTCAGTTACGCTTCAAGAGGAGACACGGAGGAGACACGGAGAAGACACGGAGGAGACACGGTGAAGACATGGAGGAGACACGGAGGAGACACGGAGGAGACACGGAGGAGACACGGTGAAGACACGGAGGAGACACGGAGGAGACACGGTGAAGACACGGAGGAGACACGGAGGAGACACGGAGGAGACACGGTGAAGACACGGAGGGGACACGGAGGAGACACGGAGGAGACACGGAGAAGACACGGAGGAGACACGGAGGAGACACGGAGGAGACACCGAGGAGACACGGTCACTCGCCCTCAAAACAGATTTACACATTTCACAAAAACGTTATTTTTTGGTATGAGACAGACCGACCCATACATGTGTGATCTTTAGTAAAGCCTTGTGTGTGGACTGTGCAATACAAATAAACTTGCTTGTAGTTTCCTTGTATTGTGGTTTGAAAGTCAGGTACCCGAGCTTTACATAGAATCCTGAGACATTAAGCTAATCTCTGAGCATTAACTGGTCCTGAAACTTTGAAAAACTACTTTTGCACCAGATCACATCCATCTCCACAAACTTAACCACGACTTCCATAAAACAACTTCTAACATCCGAGTCCATCTGAATTCTCTTTCTCCTACTTTTCTGAATCCAATGAACCCACAAAGGCCTCATCCTCGGCCCGTGCCCCTGCTCTGGTCCAGTCGGGTGTGATCTAAAGACCTCCTGCTGCTTGTTAGAACTGCTGACGTGTGCTGGAGCCTAATTTGTTCCACGGTCTCCCAAGGCCTTGTTCCATCTGGGCCAAGGATCGATATTTGTAATGGAGGCAGAGCAGGACACGGCACATCCATCCACACCACTTCAGGCACTTGTTATAAAGTGGAAAAAATGAGCGCTGGGAGAAAAACACCGCTTACAGACGCCTTTATCACACAGGCGTGTCATTTCGAGGGTGGGGACTCTCGCCAAAGGATAACCCCAGGACAGAACATCGCTTAAAATGAGGATATTGTCTTTTCGAGAGGTTCGGACCGTTCGCTCAGCGGTGGATTGGGTCTGAGATGCTTTTTCATGTTAAAGGTGTGAACTGTGTGATTATGAGTCTGGGGTTTACCGCCTCCTGTCTCCATAAAGATGTTTTTTCAGACACAAACTCCTCACATTATAAGATATTATAAAAGCACCTTTTCTGATCCCACAGCGAGGAAACGCCAGCGCAGCAGCACAACAACAGGACGAACACAAATCAAACTGACATAAGCACTGTTTTTACTTGAACATTTGAATCATTTATGTTTGCACCAGTGAAAAGAGCAGCAGATCCAGACTCTGGGCCTAAATACACAGCTACAAATATCAGGATATCACATGAAAAACTAGAGGAAGAAACCAAGGGTCACATTTATCAACACAGTATAAAAAAACACATGTTTGTACTTTACTATTTTTTAACCATGAACCATACAGACCTAACCATGAACGATACAGACCCAACCATGAACCATACAGACCTAACCATGAACGATACAGACCCAACCATGAACCATACAGACCCAACCATGAACCATACAGACCTAACCATGAACCATACAGACCCAACCATGAACCATACAGACCTAACCATGAACCATACAGACCCAACCATGAACCATACAGACCTAACCATGAACGATACAGACCCAACCATGAACCATACAGACCCAACCATGAACCATACAGACCTAACCATGAACTATACAGACCAAACCATGAACCATACAGACCTAACCATGAACCATACAGACCCAACCATGAACCATACAGACCTAACCATGAACCATACAGACCCAACCATGAACCATACAGACCTAACCATGAACGATACAGACCCAACCATGAACCATACAGACCCAACCATGAACCATACAGACCTAACCATGAACTATACAGACCAAACCATGAACCATACAGACCTAACCATGAACCATACAGACCCAACCATGAACCATACAGACCTAACCATGAACCATACAGACCCAACCATGAACCATACAGACCTAACCATGAACGATACAGACCCAACCATGAACCATACAGACCTAACCATGAACTATACAGACCAAACCATGAACCATACAGACCTAACCATGAACCATACAGACCTAACCATGAACCATACAGACCCAACCATGAACCATACAGACCTAACCATGAACGACACAGACCTAACCATGAACCATATAGACCTAACCATGAACCGTACAGACCTAACCATGAACCATAAAGACCTAACCATGAACCATATAGACCTAACCATGAACCATACAGACCCAACCATGAACCATACAGACCTAACCATGAACCATACAGACATAACCATGAACCATATAGACCAAACCATGAACCATACAGACCCAACCATGAACTATACAGACCAAACCATGAACCATACAGACCTAACCATGAACCATACAGACCTAACCATGAACCATACAGACCCAACCATGAACCATACAGACCTAACCATGAACGACACAGACCTAACCATGAACCATATAGACCTAACCATGAACCGTACAGACCTAACCATGAACCATATAGACCTAACCATGAACCATATAGACCTAACCATGAACCATACAGACCCAACCATGAACCATACAGACCTAACCATGAACCATACAGACATAACCATGAACCATATAGACCAAACCATGAACCATACAGACCCAACCATGAACCATACAGACCTAACCATGAACCATACAGACATAACCATGAACCATATAGACCTAACCATGAACGATACAGACCTAACCATGAACCATACAGACCTAACCATGAACGATACAGACCTAACCATGAACCATACAGACATAACCATGAACCATATAGACCAAACCATGAACCATACAGACCCAACCATGAACCATACAGACCTAACCATGAACCATACAGACATAACCATGAACCATATAGACCTAACCATGAACGATACAGACCTAACCATGAACCATACAGACCTAACCATGAACGATACAGACCTAACCATGACCCGTACAGACCTAACCATGAACGATACAGACCTAACCATGAACCATACAGACATAACCATGAACCATATAGACCTAACCATGAACGATACAGACCTAACCATGAACCGTACAGACCTAACCATGAACCATACAGACCTAACCATGAACCATACAGACATAACCATGAACCATATAGACCTAACCATGAACGATACAGACCTAACCATGAACCATACAGACCTAACCATGAACGATACAGACCTAACCATGAACCATACAGACCTAACCATGAACGATACAGACCTAACCATGAACCATACAGACCTAACCATGAACCATACAGACCTAACCATGAACCGTACAGACCAAACCATGAACCATACAGACCTAACCATGAACCATATAGACCTAACCATGAACCATATAGACCTAACCATGAACCATACAGACCCAACCATGAACCATACAGACCTAACCATGAACGATACAGACCTAACCATGAACCATACAGACCTAACCATGAACGATACAGACCTAACCATGAACCGTACATACCTAACCATGAACAATACAGACCTAACCATGAACCATATAGACCTAACCATGAACCATACAGACCCAACCATGAACCATACAGACCTAACCATGAACGATACAGACCTAACCATGAACCATACAGACCTAACCATGAACGATACAGACCTAACCATGAACCATACAGACCTAACCATGAACGATACAGACCCAACCATGAACCATACAGACCTTACCATGAACGATACAGACCCAACCATGAACCATACAGACCTAACCATGAACTATACAGACCAAACCATGAACCATACAGACCTAACCATGAACCATACAGACCTAACCATGAACCATACAGACCCAACCATGAACCATACAGACCTAACCATGAACGATACAGACCTAACCATGAACCATATAGACCTAACCATGAACCGTACAGACCTAACCATGAACCATATAGGCCTAACCATGAACCATATAGACCTAACCATGAACCATACAGACCCAACCATGAACCATACAGACCTAACCATGAACCATACAGACATAACCATGAACCATATAGACCAAACCATGAACCATACAGACCCAACCATGAACCATACAGACCTAACCATGAACCATACAGACATAACCATGAACCATATAGACCTAACCATGAACGATACAGACCTAACCATGAACCATACAGACCTAACCATGAACCATACAGACCTAACCATGAACCATACAGACATAACCATGAACCATATAGACCAAACCATGAACCATACAGACCCAACCATGAACCATACAGACCTAACCATGAACCATACAGACATAACCATGAACCATATAGACCTAACCATGAACGATACAGACCTAACCATGAACCATACAGACCTAACCATGAACGATACAGACCTAACCATGAACCGTACAGACCTAACCATGAACGATACAGACCTAACCATGAACCATACAGACATAACCATGAACCATATAGACCTAACCATGAACGATACAGACCTAACCATGAACCGTACAGACCTAACCATGAACCATACAGACCTAACCATGAACCATACAGACATAACCATGAACCATATAGACCTAACCATGAACGATACAGACCTAACCATGAACCATACAGACCTAACCATGAACGATACAGACCTAACCATGAACCATACAGACCTAACCATGAACGATACAGACCTAACCATGAACCATACAGACCTAACCATGAACCATACAGACCTAACCATGAACCGTACAGACCAAACCATGAACCATACAGACCTAACCATGAACCATATAGACCTAACCATGAACCATATAGACCTAACCATGAACCATACAGACCCAACCATGAACCATACAGACCTAACCATGAACGATACAGACCTAACCATGAACCATACAGACCTAACCATGAACGATACAGACCTAACCATGAACCGTACAGACCTAACCATGAACGATACAGACCTAACCATGAACCATACAGACCTAACCATGAACGATACAGACCTAACCATGAACCATACAGACCTAACCATGAACCATACAGACCTAACCATGAACCGTACAGACCTAACCATGAACGATACAGACCTAACCATGAACCATACAGACCTAACCATGAACCATACAGACCTAACCATGAACCATACAGACCTAACCATGAACCATACAGACCTAACCATGAACCGTACAGACCAAACCATGAACCATACAGACCCAACCATGAACCATATAGACCTAACCATGAACCATACAGACCTAACCATGAACCGTACAGACCTAACCATGAACCATATAGACCTAACCATGAACCATACAGACCTAACCATGAACCATACAGACCTAACCATGAACCATATAGACCTAACCATGAACCATACAGACCTAACCATGAACCATACAGACCTAACCATGAACCATACAGACCAAACCATGAACCATACAGACCTAACCATGAACCATACAGACCTAACCATGAACCATACAGACCTAACCATGAACCATACAGACCCAACCATGAACCATACAGACCTAACCATGAACCATACAGACCTAACCATGAACCATACAGACCTAACCATGAACCATACAGACATAACCATGAACCTTACAGACATAACCATGAACCATACAGACCTAACCATGAACCATACAGACATAACCATGAACCGTACAGACATAACCATGAACCGTACAGACATAACCATGAACCATACAGACCCAACCATGAACCATACAGACATAACCATGAACCATACAGACATAGCCATGAACCATACAGACCAAACCATGAACCATACAGACCCAACCATGAACCATACAGACCTAACCATGAACCATACAGACCAAACCATGAACCGTACAGACCTAACCATGAACCATACAGACCAAACCATGAACCATACAGACCAAACCATGAACCATACAGACCAAACCATGAACCATACAGACCTAACCATGAACCATACAGACCAAACCATGAATCGTACAGACCTAACCATGAACCGTACAGACCTAACCATGAACCGTACAGACCAAACCATGAACCATACAGACCCAACCATGAACCATACAGACCTAACCATGAACCATACAGACATAACCATGAACCATACAGACATAACCATGAACCATACAGACCTAACCATGAACCATACAGACATAACCATGAACCGTACAGACATAACCATGAACCGTACAGACATAACCATGAACCATACAGACCCAACCATGAACCATACAGACATAACCATGAACCATACAGACATAACCATGAACCATACAGACCAAACCATGAACCATACAGACCTAACCATGAACCATACAGACCTAACCATGAACCATACAGACCAAACCATGAACCGTACAGACCTAACCATGAACCATACAGACCAAACCATGAACCATACAGACCAAACCATGAACCATACAGACCAAACCATGAACCATACAGACCAAACCATGAACCATACAGACCTAACCATGAACCATACAGACCAAACCATAAATCGTACAGACCTAACCATGAACTGTACAGACCTAACCATGAACCATACAGACCCAACCATGAACCATACAGATCTAACCACGAACCATACAGACCAAACCATGAACCATACAGACCAAACCATGAACCATACAGACCAAACCATGAACCATACAGACCAAACCATGAACCATACAGACCTAACCATGAACCATACAGACCTAACCATGAACCATACAGACCTAACCATGAACCATACAGACCCAACCATGAACCATACAGACCTAACCATGAACCATACAGACATAACCATGAACCATATAGACCAAACCATGAACCATACAGACCCAACCATGAACCATACAGACCTAACCATGAACCATACAGACATAACCATGAACCATATAGACCTAACCATGAACCATACAGACCTAACCATGAACCGTACAGACCTAACCATGAACCATACAGACCTAACCATGAACGATACAGACCTAACCATGAACCATACAGACCTAACCATGAACAATACAGACCTAACCATGAACCGTACACACCTAACCATGAACGATACAGACCTAACAATGAACCATACAGACCTAACCATGAACAATACAGACCTAACCATGAACCATACAGACCTAACCATGAACGATACAGACCTAACCATGAACCGTACAGACCAAACCATGAACCATACAGACCAAACCATGAACCATACAGACCTAACCATGAACCGTACACACCTAACCATGAACGATACAGACCTAACCATGAACCATACAGACCTAACCATGAACCATACAGACCAAACCATGAACCATACAGACCTAACCATGAACCATACAGACCTAACCATGAACCATACAGACCAAACCATGAACCATACAGACCTAACCATGATCCATACAGACCTAACCATGAACCATATAGACCTAACCATGAACCATACAGACCTAACCATGAACCATACAGACATAACCATGAACCATACAGACATAACCATGAACCATACAGACCTAACCATGAACCATACAGACAAAACCATGAACCGTACAGACATAACCATGAACCGTACAGACATAACCATGAACCATACAGACCCAACCATGAACCATACAGACATAACCATGAACCATACAGACATAACCATGAACCATACAGACCAAACCATGAACCATACAGACCTAACCATGAACCATACAGACCTAACCATGAACCATACAGACCAAACCATGAACCGTACAGACCTAACCATGAACCATACAGACCAAACCATGAACCATACAGACCAAACCATGAACCATACAGACCAAACCATGAACCATACAGACCAAACCATGAACCATACAGACCTAACCATGAACCATACAGACCAAACCATAAATCGTACAGACCTAACCATGAACTGTACAGACCTAACCATGAACCATACAGACCCAACCATGAACCATACAGATCTAACCACGAACCATACAGACCAAACCATGAACCATACAGACCAAACCATGAACCATACAGACCAAACCATGAACCATACAGACCAAACCATGAACCATACAGACCTAACCATGAACCATACAGACCTAACCATGAACCATACAGACCTAACCATGAACCATACAGACCCAACCATGAACCATACAGACCTAACCATGAACCATACAGACATAACCATGAACCATATAGACCAAACCATGAACCATACAGACCCAACCATGAACCATACAGACCTAACCATGAACCATACAGACATAACCATGAACCATATAGACCTAACCATGAACCATACAGACCTAACCATGAACCGTACAGACCTAACCATGAACCATACAGACCTAACCATGAACGATACAGACCTAACCATGAACCATACAGACCTAACCATGAACAATACAGACCTAACCATGAACCGTACACACCTAACCATGAACGATACAGACCTAACAATGAACCATACAGACCTAACCATGAACGATACAGACCTAACCATGAACCATACAGACCTAACCATGAACGATACAGACCTAACCATGAACCGTACAGACCAAACCATGAACCATACAGACCAAACCATGAACCATACAGACCTAACCATGAACCGTACACACCTAACCATGAACGATACAGACCTAACCATGAACCATACAGACCTAACCATGAACCATACAGACCAAACCATGAACCATACAGACCTAACCATGAACCATACAGACCTAACCATGAACCATACAGACCAAACCATGAACCATACAGACCTAACCATGAACCATACAGACCTAACCATGAACCATATAGACCTAACCATGAACCATACAGACCAAACCATGAACCATACAGACCTAACCATGAACCATACAGACCTAACCATGAACCATACAGACCTAACCATGAACCATACAGACCTAACATAGCCTGTATCCACGGTTACAGTGCTTTAGTGAGAGTCTACTTCAGATACATTCTTTATTAGAGTCATTTACATTCTCCCACCGCTGAGATAGAATGTCTCCCTTGGGCTGTTCTGATCAGAATTCAGTCGATGCTGGTCTTGTCCTTGCTCCGGGCTAATCCTGGCTGCATCCTGGACTCGTACAGCAGCGTTTAAGTAGAACGCAGGGAAACGGAGGACACGGCTTAAAGCAGGGTCTGCGTCAGGACTGCAGCTCCACCAGCGCTTACACAGCTCATCGTCTTTCTCTGACAGCGGCAAAACTGATACAGGCTGAAATAAAGCCTTCACCTTCAACACATCCGCAGGCATTACTCTACACCGCTGCACACACACACACACACACACACACACACACACACACACACACACACACACACACACACACACACACACACACACACACACACACAAAAGACAAAGATCAAGTCTCCATTAGCACTGTCCACCTTACACAGTCTATGGGTGCTACACACAGTTTTAATATTCTCTTTCCAAGCGCCATCACAACACTGCCATCAAAGACACGACAAGCTTCTGCATGTTTCTATAGAATGTTTAATTAACACACACGCATGCACGCACACACACATACACACACACACACACACACATGCACGCGCACACACACACACACACACACACACATTTATTTTTATTATTATTTTATTGTCTTGTCGTTGTTTTGTGTTGTGTTCTTTGTGTGATGTTGAATGATGACGTGTCTGTTTTGTTGTTTTTAATAAAGAAACAAATAAACCCCCACCGCTGTCAGACTGTACAATAAGTCACTTTAAGTCACTTGCATTAGGACTAAAACCCTGCACTTGTATCGACACTGTTTGCACAATATTGGGTGTTTCTATCCATGATGTGACGTGTACATTTCTCCATCAGAGATCAGTAAACTCTATCTTATCTTAAATACAAAATACATTAAATCTCTGTATTTTTCTGTCTTTGAGCAAAAGTCTCAAAGACAGAATCTAAACAGTGTCGTGTCATGGCTGTAATCAGAGGAGTCTTGAAACGTCTCAGACAAAAGAAAAAATAAATTACTCAAACTGTGTGTAAAAATTGACTATAGAAAGTGTGTGTCAGCGCTTAGTCGGGGATTATTGAAAACAAAGGAAGGTTTCTCATCCACCAGACGGTAGAGTGGGAAAAGATGTGAAAAGTCAACTCTCCGTGCGACGTGGCGTTCAAGGGCTTTTGAATCCAGAATGTACAGAGCCTTTCATGAAGCTGTGATCTGGAACAGTCAGAACGTCCAGATCCAGGAACAGTGGTCTCTAAACATGGACTCAATGTAGAGCCCTCAAAGTGAACAGAACTGGGTCACACCGCAGCAGAGAAACCTTTGAACTGTGAAAGTGTTTTATCAATAATGTTTAGTCCAATAACTGTGAAGGTGCAGAGTCTTTCTCGGATGAAGAACGTAGCATAAGATCAGAGGTGCACAACATGAGACGCTAGAAGCAGCTGGAAGGTTCCTCAAGTTCTTCAGTTTGATGAATAAACATACACCAGGCATGCAGAGAACAGCTCTCCTTATGGGCAAAGTGGGTTTAGTGTCTTGCCAAAGGACACACCGACAGCAGACATCAGTGCAGTCGGTGGAGAAGGTCTCATGGTGGGATCTTTGACACATTCTTATTACCTGACAAAACTAAAAGCAAACGGCTAAGAGTAATAAGTCCACTGGTCCATCAAAGCCTCCGACCAAACACCATCCATTCCCTCACTCGTTACATTCAGGCCTGTTGTGCATGTTTTTAGTGGACGGGTAAACCGGAGCACCTGGAGAAAACCTACACAGACAAAGGCATAACATGTACATTTCACTCAGAAAGACCCTGTTCTGACTGGGATGTGAACCCAGGATGTGAACTAACCACTCGCCCGTAAACAGTGTGTTGCTACGGTAACCAGCCCTTGCTCTGAGCCAGTCGAGGATCAAGATAATTTCATAAACATAATTACATAGATATAAACAACTTATAGAAAAAGTCCGAAAGTTTTGAAGACCAAAAACGTACATAAATACTCACAGTAATCACACTTTCAACTTTCAAAACAAAAAGCCGTCAAATTGACTGCTCTGGGAGTTCTAGTGTTGTAGATTGGTCATGCGCCCCCTAGGGACCAATGGCTGCTATGTCTTTGTTATTATTGCACTTCCTGTGTTGTAACGGCTTGATTCTCTGAACTCTGCAAAGTCCTCCAAAAGGAAAAACACAAACACACAAACTGAGCTGAACATTTGAGATTCCACCGAGACCAACGAGACTCTTGGAATCATCAGTCTCTCTCCCGCGTGAACAAAAAATATAATTATTATTTCAGTATAATTTAAAATCAAAACCAGTGATGACCAAAATCTTGCTTAGACACGAAATGCAGGAAGTGACAACAGAAAGAAAAACACTAAAACAGATCAAACTTGGGACAAAGAGAAAAGACATTAAACTCATGTCTTTGTGTGAGAAAAAGCAGGTTTGTGTGTTTGTGTGACTGTGTGTGGGTGTGTGTGTGTGTGTGTGTGTGTGTGAGTATGTGTGTGTTTGTGTGACTGTATGTCTGTGTTTGTGTGTTTGTGTACACAAATCAAAACCAAACTTGGAGTTGACTTTAGTTTCAGCAGACCAATTTCACTGGTGTACCGCTAGCTTCTAGCACTTCCATGGATCTATAATCATATCTGGATAGAGTATTAGCTTATAGCTGTCCCACTCATGGCCACAGAGGGCGCTGTGGTACTGCAGACTAAACTCACATTACCCTGAAACATGTCCATAGAACCTGACAGTACCAAGAGCCACCTTTGGACCAAGAACCAGTTTTGGACCAAGAGCCACCTTTGGACCAAGAACCAGTTTAGGACCAAGAACCAGTTTTGGACCATCCTGTAAAGACATTTTCAAGAGGAAAGAAGACCATACAAAAGCATTGAATTATTCTCTTTCTGGGTACAGCCCCACAGGCCTGGGGTGGCACTGCAAGTATGTGCTCATGGACCTTTGGAGCCAGGACCCGCCCACACTTGTCTCTCTCTCTGTCTGTGTCTGTCTGTCTGTGTCTGTCTGTCTGTATCTGTCTGTCTGTGTCTGTCTGTGTCTGTCTGTCTGTGTCTGTCTGTCTGTGTCTGTCTGTGTCTGTCTGTCTGTGTCTGTCTGTATCTGTCTGTCTGTGTCTGTCTGTCTGTGTCTGTCTGTATCTGTCTGTCTGTGTCTCTGTCTGTGTCTGTCTGTCTGTGTCTGTCTGTGTCTGTCTGTCTGTGTCTGTCTGTATCTGTCTGTCTGTGTCTCTGTCTGTGTCTGTCTGTCTGTGTCTGTCTGTCTGTATCTTTCTGTCTGTGTCTCTGTCTGTGTCTGTCTGTCTGTATCTGTCTGTCTGTGTCTGTCTGTCTGTATCTGTCTGTCTGTGTCTGTCTGTCTCTGTCTGTGTCTGTCTGTGTGTCTGTGACTGTCTGTATCTGTCTGTGTCTGTCTGTGTCTGTCTGTGTCTGTCTGTATCTGTCTGTCTCTGTCTGTGTCTGTCTGTCTGTGTCTGTCTGTATCTGTCTGTCTGTGTCTCTGTCTGTGTCTGTATCTGTCTGTCTGTATCTGTCTGTCTGTGTCTCTGTCTGTGTCTGTATCTGTCTGTTTGTGTCTGTCTGTCTGTGTCTGTCTGTGTCTGTCTGTATCTGTCTGTCTGTGTCTGTCTGTATCTGTCTGTCTGTGTCTGTCTGTGTCTGTCTGTCTGTGTCTGTCTGTGTCTGTCTGTGTCTGTCTGTGTCTGTCTGTATCTGTCTGTCTGTGTCTCTGTCTGTGTCTGTCTGTGTCTGTCTATCTGTATCTGTCTGTCTGTGTCTGTCTGTCTGTGTCTGTCTGTGTCTGTCTGTATCTGTCTGTCTGTGTCTGTCTGTCTGTGTCTGTCTGTCTGTGTCTGTCTGTATCTGTCTGTATCTGTCTGTCTGTGTCTGTCTGTGTCTGTCTGTATCTGTCTGTCTGTGTCTGTCTGTGTCTGTCTGTGTCTGTCTGTATCTGTCTGTCTGTGTCTCTGTCTGTGTCTGTCTGTCTGTGTCTCTGTCTGTGTCTCTGTCTGTGTCTGTGTCTGTCTGTATCTGTCTGTCTGTGTCTGTCTGTGTCTGTCTGTCTGTGTCTGTCTGTGTCTGTCTGTGTCTGTCTGTGTCTGTCTGTGTCTGTCTGTCTGCCTCAGACTGTAGCCCTGGGGTTTCCAATCTTACTCATTATGAGCAGGTAACATAAGTGTGATGATAAATAATGATCCTAATATTCCCAATATCAGACTCTCTCTGATGATGTATCACCTCATTCTTCCCAGGACCACTTAAAGGAGTAGCTCTCTGTCTTTTTTGTCTCAGGAAAGTAGCTCTCTGGGTGACAGAGGTTGGAGACACCTGCTGTGGCCGATATTAACCTCTTCCCATCAACGCTCCTAACAACAATGACGTCTACAGCCATAAAAACGGTCTCAAATGCGACCTGCTCGGATAAAAACAAACACAGAGACAAAACACCATCTGCCTGTGTCTCCTTTAACTCCATTGACAGCTTTTTTAATTATTAAACATAAGTTTCTCCCATAAAGTGCAAAGTGGAGGCTTCTCCGACTCCAGACACACACAAACTTACACCCCTCCCCTTTACATCTCTGCACTTCTCAAAGACGAGCCCGAAGCAAAGTTCAACTAATCCCAGCTCTTGGTTCGAGGAGACAGAAGCTAATGGGTTCGGTTTGATCAGCGGGGATTAGTTTTACGGCACCAGAACCTGCGGAGCCAATTAGGTTTATGGTTTCCAACTCACCGGTGTCTAAACCTGACGAAGAGGAGGCAGCGATAAATGAAACAGCTTTTGTGTTTTTCTTTTCAGGTGAGACACAATTTGGGTTTTTTCCACAAACACAGACTTTTGATTTGATTTGTGGTTCGCCTGCAGCGCCTTTCTCCTGCGGCCG